AGCGAAATAAATGGTAGTATCACAAGCTTTTAGAAATACGCTTGGATGATCTGACTTTTTTATTTTGCAAGTGATGCGGAATTATTAGTGAAGGAAGAAAGCAAAGGTTGCAATTGTCTTGAAAAGGATTAAATGCGCTTGAATAATTTCTCATTTGAGTGGGTACATGTAGAGGTGCATAATGCAAACAAAATGAATAGAAATGATTTGAAATGAAATTGGATAAAATTGCGAATGTTATTTGTTGTTCTTTGGACTGAAATACACACAAATATATTGTTACTGATTAGCTAGTTCTTTTTCTTTTTCCTCTTCTATAATCATATTTTTAACTGTAGAGATTAGATCAATGGCAGAGACTGATCTAATTTTATTGCTTTGCATAAGAGTGCATTTTATTTTCGCTTAACTTTGTGTTAGATTTACAACTATAGCATTAAAATATTTTCTGGTAAGCTTAAAATCTTGTTTTTATGCTTAGAACAACTTTTAATACGCTTGATAACTAGCAAGATTTGCATTCTAATTAATCCAAGTCAGCAAATAAAAAAATCAGAATATGAAATAGAAAAGTTTTAATATTTTAGGAATACAAATTTTGATGCTATGTTATTTATTAGAAGCTGAATTAGCTGTGAAATTTTGCCACTGAAAGTAGTTTAGTTTAATATATCATACCATAATTTTTGCTGTTTAAAACCACAAGATTTTAACATATGTATTACTTTTAACTATGAAAAAACTCAAGAACAATCTAAAATATGTGGTAGATTGGAAGTAATGCCTGAAGTATTTTCATGGAAGATGTCATAGGCAGTAAATCAGCTTCTTAATGGTAAAAAAAGAAACTTGTTCTGAAATTAACCGTTTTCTTTACCTTGAGAATAGTGCAATTTCTTTTTCTGAATTACTACATATAAGATGGTGTGTGTAACTGAAAATAAGTTCTCAAAAATGATTGAATCCAAAATTAAAAATAAATGAGAATTGATTGAAAAATTTTAACCTTTTATAAGATACATACTGTAATGAAAAACTGGGAAAATACTATTGATGAGACAATTCATGAGTAATTAAAATATCCCCATCATTAAAAAATATCTATTATAAACACAATGTAATGTATAAGTTCATTGATTAGAATCAATTACTTGGTGGTTTTAGCAATGGCAGACTAAGTAAAATTAAAAAAACTTATAGTGATATTGACTGATATGATTGTAACATGAACAAAATAAAATGATAGTTTTAAATTTAAGAGCAAATTATTTTCCATGAGCAGTCAGTCGTGTATTCATTACTCAACACAAACTTTATTCACTCAAATTTATCTTGAAAATTGTTAAAAATGGAGCAAAAAAGATTGAGTAATTGATGATAACACGAGTGTAAGTAAATGAAGCATACTTCAATAAAAAGCACGAGTTAAGTGAAAATTTTTGTCGAAAATAACATAGCAATAATGTGGCGACTGTTGAAATGATCCATTAATAAAATTCATAATGTCTAATCAGAAATTGCATTTTCATCTATGTAAAGTGAAAAATTGGCTTGCTTTGAGTTTTCCCTTGTATGTCAGAAGAATCAACAAATAGCTAATCAGTAAAGCTAAAAAAAAAATGAAAAAAATAGAAAGCGCATTTTTTCATTCCGAAAATACCAAAAAATATTTTCAGAATTTTCAGTGGTTTTAAAAAATTTTTATACTTAACTTTTTATTAAATTTACAATAAAGTTTTGAAGGGATGGAAAAGCAAATTTTATTTTTCTTTATTTTATTTATAAAAATAATCAAATTATGATACTATCATAACAGGGAATTTTTTTCACAAAACTATAAATTTTTCTTAAACAATATTAACAAATCACATCAGTAAGATATGCTTCTTAGTTCGTACACTTTTTTTGTATAAAGAACAAATAGCAGTAAAATGCAAAAATAAAAAGTTCATTTTCGAAAAGCAATTGTAATTACTAAATTTACTGCAAATGATGAACGAATGCTTAACAAGTAAGCACATTTTGTTAATATCCGGTGAAAATAATTTTGAGAAATGAAACTAATAAAGAAGATGAGCTTCATTAAATAACTAATCTCAAAGTACATAATTTTATGACTTAAATGTCAATTTTCAGCATTATTTGTACTTCATTATTAATTCTTTTTTCGAAGCACTTTTTCTTTTCTCATTTTTCTTCTCTATTTCTATTTCTGTTTTTTTTTTCTGAAGCCAAAATGTCTAAAAAATTAAAAACAAATCATAAAAAATGCAAAGATATCTAAGAGTACTAATGAGGCAACATTTTTCAACTCTTCAAAGTTTTGAAATTTTGAAATTAAGTCTTTACCAGAATAGAAAAGCCAAGTTACTTAAATTGTTGAATAAAGACAGCTTTCTTTGCATTTAGGTTCAAATATTCAGTAGTTCAATCAACGACTGATTCATAAAAATAAACTGCCCTAGCTGCTAACCCAAGAAGACATTAATTTAAATAATATACAGTTAGTGAAAGACTTTGAAACCTGATGACATCATGCAAACAGATTACTTTATTGCATCAATTTTAATAAAATAACTACAAATATATACTAAAAAAGTTGTAAGTAAATTCATAATCTTCATTTTAAAAAAATTAGACTATGCAATATTCAAAACTAAAAAATTTTTATATTCGATAAAATTATCAGATTCAGTGTTGAAGAATGTCACATTTGCTGCATTAACTGACAAAATTGTTTTGCGTCGAATTTCTTAGCTAAGAGCAATTTCTTATATAGCAGTCAAAAATTTGTTTTATTTGATATTTTAGCCAGTAATATACGATTTTTTAGAATTATGCTTCAAAAATTTTTCTGTCTAAAATTTTATTTGCCAGATTTTTTCGATGTCACGTATGATTTTTCAGAAGACTGCTACATTTTGAGACTTGAAATCAATAGACTAAAAGGAATAGTTAGATTTTTACAACGTATTGCACTGATGAATGCAAAAGTTATATTATTTTCAATACTTCAAACTTCACATCAGATTCAAATTCAGTACAATCATACAATAGATAGTTTACCAATAATGCTATTTTTATCATTTATTATAGTATTTGCACTTAACATATCATTTTTTTCACAATTTTTTGAATACGAAAAAGATTTGCAAAGTTTAGTGCAGCTCCACACAAGCTCATTTGAAAGATTACACATTTTTTGAATTAATAAATTAATCTTTACAAGTGACTGCCTGTGTTCCAGTTAATACTCCCTTTTGTATTACTACAATAAGCATTTGTGAAAAATATAGATCATCAGCTTAAATTCGTTTTAAATTTATGTTCAATCTAGTACAACAAAAACTATCAATCAAAATGAATTTGAAATTAATGCAAATTATAATGAGAGTTAAGTTTAGTCAAAATATTATTGTAATTTGTTACATATCAATGCAGTATTGCTTGGTAATTGGTAAAAAACTTTTTGGTAAACACAAAAGAAAGGAATGCACCGAATAAGGAAAGTTCAGAAGAAGAAATGATGTTGTTTGTAAAGCAAATTCAATGTCGTGTAATATTAGCTGAGAATGGCAAAGTAGAAGCAGCTGAATTTACTTCAATGCTTGCCATATAAAATTAAGATCGAGCCACCTGTTCTTTTTTTTCGCAGACTATTTCAATTTGTGGCTAAAATTGATTTTTAATCTTTTCTCTAAATTGCTTTGATCAATTCCCAAACTACTCTAATTTTTAAAAAAATTATGAATTTTACTCCTAATCAAATTTATGCATACCAGAGTTAGAAAGAATAATTTTTGACATCAAATTAAGCAAGTATATAATACTGTTGTCGTTTGAAGTTCATCATAATATCTTATTCAAAATGGTATAATCATTTGATGACACGAGAAGAAGCAGTGCAATCAAAGTAAACATTACTGAATTGCAGTGATTTGTACCATTTTTGGATATATTTTATGAATAATTTGTAAATTTGAATACTTTGTTTTATACTAAAGTCATTGTTAATTATTTTAGTT